CAGCCAGTGACACCCCCTCGCCGCACCCCTCTACACATACACAAACACCGCCTAAACTTGCCGTTGACTTCATTATGTAAACACAAAGTCACGAGAATTCACTAAAATCTCATAAATTCTCTAAACCTAAAACCTACATCGTTTAAGTACTTATAATTCACATATTTCAACACAATATCTGTACCTGTTAAATTTATTGACATCTCAGTGAACATAAGCTATAAATCAATATTTAGGATGCTTTTATTTTTTATTCTAAATGGTAGACAACACACCTACAATCCCTGTCATTAATATAGTTCTTTTTCCTATCATTACACTTTTGAAAAAACCATGGTCTTTCCATTCCACCTTAGGTGAGCCGCATATTAGTTTATCTCGTGTAATATATAAATATTAATGTTTTGCTTTTTCGTATTTTATGCGCTACCATACTTTTCATCTGATTGCAGTAAAACTTTGTCAACTTATTGCTTGCACTTGCGCGAAGGTCATCGGCAAAGTACAATTAACTTACAGTAGATGGCGCATGTATCGTACCGACAAATTTATTTTTAAGTTATATATCATTCAACTTCAATGAATGTATTGTCATTCCTAATTAAACAATATAGTTCTGGCAAATTTAAAACAATATTTCCACATTTCTTCTGCAACATCAACGCGCCGCTAGTCTTATATAAAAAATCTATTGTTTCTCTGAACGTTAACACAATTTTCAAATATTATCTGGTATATGGTAATATTTACGATTTTATATAAATACTTTGTGTATTTTTTATTTTTTGCTCATTTTACAAGCCGCAGCTACTCTATAATCTATGGCCATGACTACACAACCAGCAACTTAATTACAAATAACCAAAGATTTATAAAACTTTTAATTCTCTTTACTTTTAGTTTAACCTGTGAGGTGAATTATGACTTTTTATACAGTTAGTTATTAACATATTATGTTGTTTAAAGTAACCTGCATTTTTAACGAAAAATAAATAAATTTCGTACCTTACACCCACATAATTCAAATATCTTAAAAATTAATGCTTACTTAAAATTTAGACCTTAGAGCTCTGTGCTCTAAAGATCCAAAGTTTATAATACGTAATACTATGTTCAACATTTTTTTTGACCTTTATTATATATTACGGATCACTGATGGAACAAACTTTTTTTTAATATAAATTTATTGTATGTGTATGTATACGAAACTAGATTTGTAGTCGAACTAAGTGTCTATAGCTGCAAACAATGTTATTTATGTTTTTATTAGAAAACCATGTAGATGAATTTTGTCACGTGTCTATATATTGAAGGCACAAGTGAAAATTTTGTTGAGAATGAATGTTATGTCGCTAGTTACGACTGTGGTGAAGTTATTTGTTACCAGATGGTTTGACACACTAACGCAGTATCATCATCATTGAAAATTTGCGTTTTAAATAAAAGTTTTTGGGTTTCTAGTGTATTTTGTTTATACCAAAACAATTAGTAGGGGAGCCCAATAGGGGATTTTATGGTTTACTGAAGTCCAACAGATTAATATAAGGAAGATAGCTTGCACCCTGTTGAGTACCTGCACCATATATAAGTCAATTATGTAGGTTGACCATCCGTCTAGGGCAGCGGATCAGATTAGTCAAAAAAATCAACCTTTAGAAATACTCGAACGCGTCAGATTAAAGTAAGGTGGGTTAATTACACGCTGAAATGTATGCATTTCAATAATCTGACGACTTAAAAGACACTTAAGAGAGTGGAAAGTTTTCAAACTTGCAAAAAGAACGTTGCATCGACATACTCGAGCGGGGTCGACTTTTTATTTTATTTTGAAGACATTCATTCTAAGATAACGGGTAAATTATTATTTGCCGATTTCCACAAGCCGAATTCACAAAAATCGTCATTAAAGTAGTGCGTGCAACTGTAGTGAATCATGATTCATGCATTCCCCACTCAACGTGTCTCTTTCCCTTTTACTGTTTTTCTATCTCTCATTCTCTCGCACAGTCCCCACACTACTTTCCGTTGCCATGACCTTATCACAACAAATCACAGGCTTGTTCGTGCCATTATATGTACAACAAAAATCGCTCCAGATAATTGTCAGCCACATCTAGGAAATCAAGTTGAACCATCTATATGATAACCTCAAGCGCTTGAGTATTTCAAAATGGCGATTTATTTTTTGGATTTTAAAAAGCCGCCGCAAGCTTGTATGACGTCCAAATCGTCAGTCTTTCGAATGTGAGCATGTTTCGGATTCACTTAATATCCTTTCTATATATATGACGCGCTCGAATGATTTCTTTTTTCCATTTTCTACCCTCCCATACGGCCACACCCGCCATGCAAACCGGCAGATTAACACACCTCCTGTTTAAACCACTACTTATTTTAAATTAAACACTGCACATAATTTTTTTTTAATTTTCGTCATATCTTATTTGTTAAAACGTCACATTGTTTTTTCTACATATTTGTCATAAGAAATTCTAAATTAAAAACACTTTCCACTCGTGGCGCCAACTGTCGTTCGGCATAAAAACTAAATTTAATCGTCTAAACATTCCGGCGCCCAAGGACTAATAATAGTCCTTAAAAATTGACATGGTAAAATAACATTCAAGAAAAAATATACTATTTCAATCATAATATACAGTTTTAGGATGCGTAAACTAATTTAAATCTGTGGGAAGAGGACAGATTTTTGTGATAGGTCTTTTAAAAATATTATTTTTAAATTGCAAAGTAACAATTCTAGTAAAACCATCCTTTCCTGGGTGCTTATCTAAAATACGACCTAACAGCCACTTTCCTGGAGGAAGCCTTTCATCCTTAACTAAAACGACAGTACCAATTTCTGGTTCATCACTTTGATTTGAATATTTGTAACGATGCTGAAGAGTTGTAAGGTATTCTGAACTCCAACGAGTCCACAAATTTTGTAATATTCGCTGAAGTAGTTGCCATCGATTTAGATAAGATAATTTTACATTTTCAAGGTTTTCCTCTGGGACAGTGATAAAGTGCCAGTTCGTGTTGTCATTAACTAAAAGTTGAGCAATTTCCCCTACTACAGTAGACTTTCTGTTTTTATAAGGAAGAGTTTCCACACCTTGAGTTTTTGTATCAGTATGTTCCGCATTTATGTTAACATTAGCATACACTGTTTGTTTTATTTCAAGCTTAGTGTTTGATATATCAACTTGTGGAGTGGAAATACTTTCTCTTTGACGTAGGAACTTTGGTCCGTGCCACCATAAATCTAAATCTTTAAAAGAATTCGGTCTAATGCCTCGCGAAGCGCAATCAGCTGGGTTATCTTCCGACTTGATGTGGTGCCACCGATCACTACTTATTACATTTATTATTTCGGTTGTTCTATTTGCAACAAAAGTTTTCCATACATTAGGATTCTTTCTTAGCCAAGACAGAACAATAGTGGAATCGGTTCAAGCATATTTGAATTCATCATTAACTTTGAGACTTACTCTTACCTCTTTGATCAGCTTGGCTAATAGAGCTGCTCCACAAAGTTCCAACCGTGGCAATGAAACTTGTCGCACGGGTGCAACTTTAGTTTTTGCAGTGATAATTGAGACAAATACATTTTCTTTAGTTAAAACTCTCAAATATACAACGGCCGCATAAGGTAAACAAGATGCGTCGCTGAAACCATGAACTTCAAACTGTTCTGAACCATCAACAGTAATATGCATCCATCGTTCTAAATCTATTTTACCCATTTGTGACAACTCATTTCTGTAACTAACCCATTCACTTGCAAGTTCAGTTGGAAGTTCATCTGTCCAACTAACACCACTTAACCATAATTTTTGTAAAAAGATTTTCGCAGTTATTATAACGGGTCCTAAAAATCCTAACGGGTCAAAACATCTCGCTATATCTGATAGTACTACAGTTTTAGTGAATGGTTTTTTCTGTATAGTAATATCAATTTTTACTTCAAAAACATTTTTGAGCATATCGCATCGTATTCCAAGGGCCTTGATAGTATTATCCATAGTTATTTCAACACTTTCATTAGCTACTTTATGTGAACTTGGAATTTCTCTTAAAACTGCAGCACTATTAAATGCCCGTTTATGCATTTTAAATTTACCTTTAAACATCACTTGAGTAATTCTCCTCTGTAGCTTCTTCGCTTGTTCCTCGTCATTCGCACCGATTAGTAAGTCGTCCATATAAAAATCATTATTCATAATATCAACTAAATCTGGAAAACTTAGTTGTTTATCTTGCGCTAGTTGTTTAAGGGTACGAATGGCTAGAAACGGAGCACAAGCAGTCCCATATGTAAGTGTAAGCAAACGTTTTTCTACAATCTTGTCTAGAGGTGACTTACGCCAAAGAATACGCTGATAGTCAGTGTCTTCTTTCGTAACTAATATCTACACTTCTATACTTACTATTATAAAGAGGAAAGATTTGTTTGTTTGTTTGAATTCAATAGGCTCCGAAACTACTGGACCGATTTGAAAAATTCTTTCACCATTAGCATCCTACATTATCCCTGATGAACATAGGCTATATAATATATTTTAAAAAAAATTAGGGATCCGTATGAAAACTTCGTTAATGTAACCCAAGGTGTGAAAAAAATACCAAAAATAATCCTTATATCGCGTACGCTGCGGAAACTATTGATAATAGAGCAAAGTAATGTACTTCAGTTTTATAGAGGATATCAATATCTGCAAATAAGCCTGCGATACCATGTTTAACTATTACAGTTATGTCACAATAACTACTTTTTCATGTTAAAATGTGAAATAGTAACACCGGTACAAATAGGCCACATTATTTGTATCAGTACCTGTATCATGCATGACCACCAATTACGTTAACCATGTAATTTTAGTAACATATTTCACTTTTTAAATCTTTGTTAATTCAGCAACCGTCCGTCGTGATGTCTCTCTCGAAGTTCGCATCTCGCAAGGTACAGACGCGTGATATACGCGGGTGAAACCGCGGGG